AGCAATGGTGGCATCTGGTGAGACCCATGGTTTCCGGCTGAGAAACGTTCTACGCGAACCGAAGCTAACTTGGAAAGGCCGTCTGTACACAGATAAAAGCGGAGTTGCTCTAGACAGAACAGGGGCCCGGGGCCCACTCCCACCCCTTCAGAGAGAAGCGACTCTGAACAGTATGAGGACCCCTGGACTCCAGGATGAGGTCAACTGTTAGAACAGGAAATTGGAAAGGGAGACAAAGCCACTTACCCAAAGAGCACAGAGGACAGAGGTCATGATGTCAGCACCCGAGTCTGCCAATAAGGGGGATAGAGACACACAGAAGATATACATTATGAAATGATCAGTCTTTAGGGAACACACAGATCTTTGTAATACAGACATGCTATACAAAGTTGAAAGCAGTAAAACCAAAGCTTATGAAAACACTTAAAAAATACTTTTAACACCTTTCCCTGTCAGAACTCGGTTGAGCATAACAACGGCGATGCTACTAATTTCATGTTGGGTCAATGCCTTTGGACATTTTTGGAATATGACCTGTGACTTTCATCCTTAGAGGTGGCAAGATACTTTCTCTTTTAAGAATGTTTCAATATTTAAAACATATTTTTCATATACTTAGAATGAAATATTTTCTTAGAACTGTGTTTAAGTATTTATCTATCTATTTTTCCTTTATTGATTTTACAGAGAGAGGAAGGGAGAGAAAGAAACATCGATGAGAGAGAACACTGATTGGCCGCCTCCTGCGTGCCCTCCACTGGGGATTTGGCCCACAATCTGGGCATGTGCCCTGATCGGGAATCAAACCGGTGACCTCTTGGTGCCTGGGCCGAAGCTTAACCACTGAGCACACCGGCCGGCTAGAATGAAATATTAAGCCACACTGTTCTCACACTTATGCCATCAAAAATCACTGTTGATCTTTTTCAGCTGTGTTGGAAAAACACCAAGATCGAGTTATCAAATTCAAGATGCCATTTCTTCTGTCCTCAGAGTAGGATGCTTTCTTACAAACCTAACTCAAAGATTTCTGTCTCTTAGACACAACATTGAAAACTCCATCAACTCCGAGCATTTCATGTCACACCACTTTGCGTGGGTTCCGCACGTATTGTTCGACAATGACTGGGCATCTCTTCGTGGTTGGTAACAGGCAGCAGCACTGTGGGAAGGGAGTGGGCTCTGTTCTGGGAGTGTCTTCTGCCTCTGCCAGGGGGCTCTCTAGGTGAATTAATGTCTCGGTTAGACCAACAACTGGTTTCTTCATCTCTAACTTGCAAGGCAGATTTAACGAGGCCCTGTGTGTGTTTGTACCTGGCACACAGAGTGACGCCCCCCAAAGGCTCCTTTGTATTCCTTCTTCTGCATAAACGTTTACACTTTAAGCTCGGATAATATTGATGAACCTCTCATTCTACTAAATTAGTAGATGCAAGCTGCCTCCTACCGAGTGAGTTTGGGTGGAACAGTGAACAGGACTCAGACTTCTGCTGAGGAAAGCCAAACTTTGTATCTGATGCTGGAATTTTCAATGCCGACGAATTGGGGGGAAAATTATATACATTTTATTCATTCTTATGTTCTGGATATATTTTTCTTTACTAATATTTTATTATTATGAGAACTGTGTCACATAAGGAATGTGTTAAAAATATGTTTTAGCCCGGCCAGTGTGGCTCATTGGTTGAATGTCAACCTATGCTCCAAGAGGTCACCGGTTTGATTCCCGGTCAGGGCACGTGCCCAGGTTGTGGGTCTGATCCCCAGTGGGGGCATGCAGGAGGTGGCCAGTCGATGTTCTCTCTCATTGATGCTTATATCTTTCTCTCCCTTCCTCCCTATAATCAATAAAGAAAAAAAATTAAAAAATATATATTTTACTGAGGCCTGGATAAAAATCACAATGTCAAAGTAGGTAACCAGGATGAAATGCACAAAAGCAGTGTGTCATTTCTGAGTATTTGGCATCAGTTGACAGTTAAAAGCAATGATAGTACATAAATACCCACAGAATGTTCAAATAACAGGAAACAATAAAATTTATTAAGACTTTTGTCTAAAAAAGAAACCTTAAAAGTATAAAAAAATCAGATCTCACATGATATTAAACTTGTGCTGACCTGTGTGTCAGTATATAAATTATCTGAGCTGTGGCTACCTGACTGAATTTCCTTGAATTTGACAATCAGAAAATTTGAATCAGAAAAATGGTTCATGAAGACACCACCTCATTGTTGCTTCTCACAGGTCAGAGACTTGAAAAATAATAGACACTGGAGACTGAGGAAAAAGTCTAAACACTGATTAAATGTGCAAGCTGGGTATTTTCAAGTTGTGTTTTAGAAATCTTTACTAGTATTCAATAAATAAATATAGTTACCAGTTTTTAATTGAGATGTTATTTTCTTTAATAGATTTCACAATGGTTTTTCATCAACCTTTAAGTGTAAAAAATAAAGCTGTCATTCATAAAAAAAAAATGCACCCCAAAACTGATTTTTGTATATTGATCTTATATCGATCCTGTAACCTGTTGAACTTTTTGTTTTTTTATCCTCACCTGAGGGCATTTTTTTGCATTTATCTTCAGATAGAGCAGGAAGGAGAGAGGAAGGGAGAAAGAGAGAAACATAGAGAGAGAGAGACACATCGAGTGGCTACCACCCACAGGGGACAAACCGCAACTGAGGCATGTGCCCCCGCGGGAACCAAACCCGCGACTCTCCGGTCCGCAGGCCGATGCTCCAACCACTGAGCCAAACTGGCCAGGGCTGAACTCGTCCGTTTTTAATAAATCCCTTAGGACTTTCTATATAACGAAACATGTCATCTGTAAATACATATAGGTTTACTTCGTTTCCAGTATGGTTACCTTTATTTCTTTCTCTTACGAATTGCCATGGTTGGAGCCTCAAGATCAATGTTAAATAGGAGTGATGAGAGAGAACATTTCTTGTTTTCTTCCCAGTCTTAGGAGGAAAGAATTCAACACTCAGCCTGTTGCCATGAAGTATGACGTTAGGTGTCGGTTTCTCATAGATGCCCTTTATCATGTTGAGGGAGTTCCCTTTCATTCCTAGCTGTTGACTAGTTTGATCATAAAAGGGGTGCTGAATTTCATCAAATGCTTTTCCTGCATCTGCCAAGACGCTGTGGTGACTGTGTCCTTTATGAGCACAGCACAGTTGATCCCCATTACTCATGGTTCCAAACTTCAAATTTGCCAATTTATCTGTAATCCCCAAATCAATACTTGTAGCACTTTTATTACCATTCACAGACATGTGCAGGCAGTGATTTTGAGTTCCTGATGTGCATGCTCTCAGCTGAGGTCGGACCAGGCAATCCTTCTTGTTTCCGCTCCCACAGAGATGACCAGAGGATGGAGAAGGCAGGAACAGGGCGTGTAGTGCAAGGTCTGGCTCTGGGGCCAGCTGGACAGGTGTGAATTTCAACTCTGGCACCTGTTAGTGAGGTGGCCTCAGGCAAGGCACTTAACACTTCTGAACTGCACTTTCTCTTTTGTAAAATAAACAGAATACACTAGAATAAATTGTTTGTAGGATTTAAGATTATATACTTGAAATATGTGTGTAGATACACACACATCTCCCCCAGGAGTTATGGCTTTGTATTCATTAGTTCAGTATTATCGGTGACTTTATAGAATGAAACTACTCTGAATAATGAGAATCATTTGCGTATTACATTGTTTTCTGGATGTTAAATCAACCTTGCATTCCTGAGATAAATCTCACTTGTTATGGTCTACATGTTGCTAGATTAAGTTTGCTAGTATTTTGTTGATGATTTTAAAATCTGTATTCATAATAGATATTGGTCTGTAGATTTCTTGTGATGTCTTGGTTTTGTTTTAGGGTAATACTGGCCTCAGAAGATGAGTTGGGAGTGTTCTCTTTCTTGTCTTCTATTTTTGGGGACAGTTTGTAAAGGATTGGTGCTAATCTTTAAGTGTTGGGTAGATGACAGCAGTGAAGCCATCTGGGCCTGGGATTTTCTTTGTGGAATGTTTCAAAATCACTAATTCAGTTTTTTCCTTGTTATTGACAGCTGCCTTTTAAACTTGCTTCTGGGTAGAATCAAAGGCAATAAGATTATCTTCTAAGGAGAGTAAAATTCAATAAGAAAATACATGTTATCAAGGAAGACATGTCCAATGTTTATAAGATTCAGACAGGCAGCTACCAAGATTATCCAGCTGCAAACTGATCCTGCTGTCTAGCTTTACCATAGACACATATTTCATCATCTCTCATGTGCTTTCATGACCTTAGACCAAAAAATTTCAGCTTGTTCTATATAAAATTTATACACAAACCTCTTTTTTTGTAAATATTTTTTTCTTTATTGGTTTGAGAGAGGAAGGGAGAGGGAGAGAGAGAGGAAGAAACATTGATGAGAGAGAACATTGATTGGCTGCCTCCTGCATGTCCCCCACTGGGCATCGGGCCCACAACCTGGGCCTGTGTACTGACTGGGAATCGAACCAGTGACTGGGTCGATGGTCAACCACTGAGCCACACCGGCCAGGCTATACACAAACCTCTTAACTGATAACTGTAGTAAAGTCTATAATCACAAATAAAGTTGTACATTTCTAGATTATATACAGATATGTATGTATATTTACATATCTATCTTTAAATCGATCTACAAAAATAATAGCTGTCTCAGAACCTGTCAGGAAGGCAGTGTGTAGTGGAATAAACACGGAACAGAAATCTGGAGGTCCCAGTGCCAGCTCTCACTTAAACAAGATGCCTCAATCTGTGTCTTCTGCTGATAAAATCAGGGTAAGCCTGATGATCGCTCTAAAAATACAATGACTTATTCTATAATAATGCCATTCCCCCTGTTCTTACTTCAGAGTGGTCAAAATGAAAGTATTTTTGTTATATACAAATAAACATATATACACCTACACCTCACTCTTACAGAATAAATCAGCCAATTCACAAAACCTTAACAGAGTTAGGAGGATGAGGGAGTATGTGGTTAAATACTACAATTCCAACACTTCCAAGTCCTGAGCTTGCCATGAAACAGCTGTTAATTTTCTCTCTACATATACATATGTGCCTTTTTACAATACCTCACTTTCTCTAAGACTGTTGCATATCAGGCATCTAGTAATTATGATAACTTTCAAAAACAAGGTCACTTTTCAGTAATCCTGAGCCCATCAGAGAAGCTGGAGGGCAATTCATCGGCTGTCTCGACGGGCACGTTACTTCTCCCAAACTGACATGAGTAGTGGTGGGTATGGTGACTTGAAACAAACGCATGTGCAGTCCGGCTGCAACGACAGCCATCTGACAGCATGACACTACTTGAGTTACTGAGAGGAGAATGGTAGACTCCAAGGAACGAGTCTTGAGAAGAGTGATAATGCCCCGCTCCCGCTGAGCTGGACGCAGAGCTCTGGTAGGGGTCGGTGCACATGACACACGTCTGAGAGCAGGTCTTCCTTCCCAGGCCTCGATGGATGTCCAGTTTAGCAATGAGAGGTTTCCCCACATTCACTTCCTGCTTTTCCTCGATGGTATCTTCCAATCCCGAGTACTGATACGATAGGCACACTGTGAAGACCAGATGTTCCTGAAAAGGAAAAGGAGTAAGGTTTGTTGTTTTTATCACTGACCTTAAAATATCATTCACACGACTACAGAAAACCCAGAAACAAGGAACATCCACTTGCACCCCCCCTCCAGGGTCCAGACCCTCAAGGCACCCCGCACACCGTCCCTACACTCAGAAAGGCCGTTACAACCATCTTCCTTTCCCCTCAGTCCATACTTTAAATTAGTATAATTCTAGTTCTTGCTATTGAAAATAGTCAAAATCGCAGAGACCTTGGATGATATTTTTGATGAATGGCGAAAAGGTATTTTCCAAGCAGCGGGGCTTCAGAGACTTTCCCTTCCCTTGTCTTGGGGATGGGAAACAACCTGGCTTTATTTCCACGTCAAAAGATTAGCTGTTTTTAAAATACTGTGAAATAATAATCCACAGTCATGGGTGGTAGAAATTTCAAAGATCAAAGGAGAATACGGACGAGTTATGAACAGGATGACAATAGACTATGTCTGTTGTCCTTCTGCAACTGTCAATAGTGCCCACTTCATACCCCAAGTTTTGGCTAACACATTCTATGGTCATGCAGCTATGAATAAATTAAAAACTCAGGTTTGGCAAGAATAGGATTTTATGAGAAAGTTCAACCATAGAGAGGTAGTTTCTGATTTTTAAATTAACAAAAAATGAAAAAAAAAAATCAAAATAAATTCCAATTCTCATTAGCTATTTGTTTTGTAGGAAGTCACAGAACTAGGAAATGATTCTTTGAAAATGCTGAAATATTTAAAAGCAGACAATGCGCTCTGTCTCCAACTGTTCAGCAACATGGAGGGTAATCACACAGTATCGTGTGAAAACCCTCCAGCCATCATCAAAAACAACACAGTCTGAGAAGGGTCACTGCTGAGACTCACTGTAGGCCAGTGCTCTCTACCCAGTTCCATACTTAATGAAGCAGCACATCCTAACACAAGGCTCACATGCCCAAATAATGTTTGTTTTCACAGAGTTTTCTATTAGTTAGAAACAGGAAAAGCAGTAACCTTTAATTTTTGCAGTGAACTGAGTCTGGTATAGAGGCAATGCTTGGGAAGCTCCTTGGATACTAAATAGCTGCCAGTTTCTTCAGGTGTCCCTTTATTTGCATCTTTTGGATCTATATCTAGGTCCTGGAAAATCAGTAAATATTATTATTCAATTCAATGGAAATCACAACATTGTCTATTACAATAAAACATCCTAATGGGTCTTGCTCTCTTGACCTAAGTAGGTAATCATTTATCCAGGATTAAAGAAACAATGAAAACAACACTCTATTCCTAGGAACAATAGGAATTTTAAATTCTGCACTGGTACATTAAAAAAAAGTGAGCTCTGAAAGAATAGTTACTTTCAAACTATCCCTAGAAATACTTTTTTTTACTCCTCACCCAAGGATACTTTTACATTTATCTTCAGACAGAGTGGGAGGGGGAGAGAGAGAGAGAAACACTGATGTGAGAACGAAACATCACTCAGCTGCCTACTGCACCGCCCCTACTAGGGATCGAGTGCACAGCCTGGGCATGAGCCCTGACCTGGAATCAAGTCAGCTACCTTTTGGTGCATGGGATGATGCCAACCAACTACACGCAGGCCACAGCTTAAATAGTTTCTAATAAAAGCTTCTTTCCTGGGTGAACTTTAGACATTTCTAAATTTGACAAATTTAAGGTATGTTTTCAAATAATATGACTATTATGACTAAAATACAAATAAGTATATATGTTTTCTATATGTATATATATTTCATTTATATTTACCATCAATTTTAAATTTTCCAAAATGTAGTCTTTAATAAGTGAGGATATTTCATTTGATTTTAAATTAAAAAAAAAAAAAAGGAGACTTACAAGTGGAAAATCGGTAACATAGGCATCACACATTATTATATCAGGTGGTTTGTGGACTATGCTTGTGTAGATTATCATGACGTTGGAAAACTCAGCTGCAAATCCTAATTGAATCTGAACACCACATTGAAATTTAAGACACATACTTTCTGGAAGTTCTGAAAAAAAAATAATTAAGAATAACTTATAAATAATTATTTAAAGAGTGCTTGGTAAGTTTTCTGATGGTAAACAGCAAATTCTTTATAGGGCAAAATACAGTTAGAAGAACACTTTCTTTTGCTTAAAATTGTTATGTAACTAACATATGTTTTATAGACACATATATACAGAATTAAAGAAAGAGAAAAAAGCCAATATTCTGTTGGTCAAGCAAATAAAAATCTTTCATTTGCTGTTTTCTTACTGTTCTTGTCCCTTCAATATATAATTTTTATAGTGGTAATCAAAAGTATACATATACTTGTAAACATAGTTTTCCTGTTGCTGTAATTTTCATGAAAATAGTTTTTAAAAAGTATTTTTTTAATACCATCTATCAAGGTTCATCTTAGATTTTAATATATTTTTATTGATTTTAGAGAGAGAAACATCAAATAGTTTCCTCCTGTACACATCCTGACTGGGGATCAAACCCAAAACCTGGTTATGTGTACTGACTAGGAATCGAACCTGCAACCTTTTGGTGCATGGGATGATGCTCAACTAACAGCCACACTGGGTGAAAATAGTTTTTAATAAAGCATAATGTCACTCAATGGTTTGTTACCTTTAAAAATTCTGCTACTGCTGAATATAAAACTTACGGGTTTTATTGTTTTTCTGTCTAGTCAATATTTCTTATATACAGTTAATGCTTTAGGATGATTGGACATAGCTATTTGATGGTTCCTCACAATCGTGAGTTTTCCATTTACACAGAATATAACTATAATAGTTTCTCCATAACATTTCCTCAAGATAATATTGATTTTCAAAAAGTTTGCCTGTTTGATGGGGTTAATAAAAAGAACTTATACCATAACAGATTTAATTTTCTTTTCTATATTTACTACATTAGTTTGCCATTTTCTATGTTTCTTAATTACTAATATATTCTCAACTGTGTGAATTACTGAATTTGCACCCTTTGATTATTACTTAAGGGGGGGGTCTTAATGTTTTTGTTTACTCTTTCGCATGAGCTCTTTATTATAAAAAAAATCTACTTATTAAATTTGTTACACTTTCTATCTGACCTTTCAGTTTTATTTAAAAAAATTTTTTTTCTTTATTGATTTTGGAGAGAGAGGAAGAGAGAGGGATAGAAACATCGATGAGAGAGAACATCGACTGGCTGCCTCCTGCATGCCCCCACTGGGGATTGGACCCACAACGTGGGCATGTGCCCTGACCAGGAATTGAACCAGGGACCTCTTGGTGCATGGGTTGATGTTCAACAACCAGTAAGCCACACTGGCTAGGCTCTGTTTTATTTTATAAAAAGGTTTTGTTTACTGTTGATCTTTACCACTGTGATTTTTAAATTGTTTAGAGATTTTTTAAAGGAAGAAAATCAATTTCAATTACTTACCCAATTATCTGGAATGCCAAGATAATTTATGGCATTTCACATTTTAATGTGCTTTAATATGCTAATTTACCAAAAATACATTTTCATATATTATATGAATTCAACAAATACAGTTATTTTTAATTATCCATAATGAGGGATTCACAGCATAGGTATTTGGGACTCACAGAAAATCCAAAATCTTTATTTCAGTCAATAATTTAAACTTACTTTTTCACAAAGTCAATAGAATTACCAAAGATAATTAAGCTACAGATATGAATTCTACCTCACCTTCTTTTCTCTTCATCACCAATCCACTACTTCAAGTGTCAAAGACAAAATGTTCAGTAATATTTATGGGCAGATGGTATCTGCTGACCACATGCTACCTCTTTACACGTGTGATCTCATTCAATATCAGCAACCTTATCCAGTAAGTACTATTTCTTATCCTCATTTTATAGATAACATGTTTATCAAGTGGTAGAGACTGGATCAGAACCCAGGCCTGTCTGAATTTTGAACTAGAACACTTCAACAGCTCACATGTAGGACAATCAATGGGACGGTATACTAGATAAATTGAAAATTATTTTTTAAATGATCATATTCTAATTTTACCATAGCAAAAATAATGAGTTAAATAATTTACTATTTCCAACACCAAATAAATCAGCGTATCATCTGTAACTGAAACATTTGTTCAGTCTGTGTTTATCAACTTGGCTAAAATATTTTCACTGTAAAAGTGGGATGAAAGCTGTACGCTCAGGAGGAAACAACTTCAGGACTGAACATAAGCACAGTCTAGAAGGAGCTCTCAGGGAACAGACTCGTACGCACCATGTGCCTTGGCCCACTGCAGGTTCCGCACCAGAGACTCTGCCGAACACGCTGTTCCTTGGATCGGATCCGTCAGTGCTCTCTTTTCAGATAAGCTACTTCGAATCTCTAGAGCTTGTTTGCCTTTGGTAAGATGACATTTACCCATATCTAAAAGATAAGTAAATATTATTTTTAAGACCATAATCCTTTCATTACGTTTTAAATACTTAGGCCAAGAACTCTATGAATCAGGTTATATTCTCAATATCACTTATTCACTCAACAAATATTTACTGAGCACCAAGGCGTGCCAGGCATGGTTCATGGTGCTGGGATGTCGCAGGGAGCACACAGGTGAAGACAGCGACCCAGCTCACTCTGAAAGGCCGCTCTTTGGCTTTGATCATCTGTAATTCTAGTAATGACCCTTAACATTCTAAGCCTTGAAATTCACAAAGAGCTGAAAAGTATATTTCTTCCCTGAAAGGGTCATTTTATGTCTATACTCAGAAATAGACTCAGTTAGTAAACATATGACTGACTACACATCTATGACAAAGTTAAAGTATCCTGTCTTTACCACAGATTTATTTATTTTTAACAAAGGAAGTTATGAGCTGAACCAGCAGCATGGTTAACAGCCCCGCACTGCCCCAGCGGCCACCACCCGGACACCAGGCGCCCTCCCACGTGAACCTTCATCTCCACTCATGTGGAGGAGTCGGTACACAGTGTGGGCCCAAGTTTTAGGTTTTGAACGTAATACAAATGCTGTGCCATATACATGCTTGGTATATATCATATACGGGTGAACTGGTACTTTTTATTAAGTTTTTAAAATAGTTAAATTATATTTAAAATATAAAATTAGAATAAACCATTTTAGAGTTTGTGAAGCACATGCATAGATCTGTTTGAAAATAACTGACATACTTCAAAGGCTTTACTTATTTTTTCAGCAGCAGAAACTTTTCTTTAAACAAGAGCTTAAAAGGAAGCCCAATATGTAAAACAGATAAAAGCAGAACTTGTCTGGTTGAAGGCAGTCCAAGCCCCAGCTGTCAATGTCAAATGGGAAAGTGGTTAAGTCAAGTGACCCAGCTAAAAGATCTGAACCGATAAAACCATGACAATAAACAAATGTGACCAACAGCTGTCAGTGAAGCATTCAGAGACCTTAAACTCAAACTGCCATTTTTGGAGCATCCATGAAACTCCAGTAACCAGTTAGCGAAAGAATTAAAGAATTGCCTTCTTTTTTATGTAACTTATAAAATGGTACTTCAAAAAATACATGTCACTCTAGGCTGGCAGGGAAGGGAATGAAAGGAAATGGAAGACATGGTGTTAGACCCCTAGGATTATGCCCTTAAAGCAAAAATTTAGAACCATGAAGTTCATCAAGAAAAAAAACAAACCCAGTTTTTTTCCACCAGGGTTTCAAAATTTCTGTAACGTTTCATCTGCCTGATCCTAGGAGAGAATGTTGGTTGATAATTTTTCTTTTGCACAAGTAGATTGGGCAGCACTAGGCATAGAAACAAGGTAAAGAGCTGGGAGGATCGAACTTTATTTCTCATCATGTCGGGGCAGCCTTGTAGTTCAAGTAATGCTGCACAGGTGGCAGGTAGCTAAGTCAGGAGAGAGGAAGGAATTAGATAGGAGTGTTGCTGAGCATTACATTAAAAATTATTTTATAAAGTAAGAATAAATTCTAAAGCTCTGCAATAATAGTAGGGAATACAATAATTATCACACAGAGAACCATGAGTAGCTTTCTCTTTATTTTTATTTTATTTAATTTTTTATCTTTATTTTTTAATTTTACCTTCTGCAACTTCATCCAGTAACACAGTAATTTTCTTGTCTTCCAATAATCTATCTTTTAAAAATTTCATGAAGATTCCATTTGCCAATCCAGAATGCTGGATCTCAAAAGCTTCTGCTCCTTGACACCTTAAAACCAGCAACAAGAAGGAACATTTAAGGGCACACTTGTCACACGGGGCTTCCATAAGCACCGCTGAGCCTCCTGCCGCCTGGCTGACTCCCGGGTGAGAGTCACTCTTGACACAGGACTAAATGCTTTGGTGCTTCATAAAAAGAAGAGGCCAAGATACGAAGTGCTAAGGTCGATTGTTTAAAATTTGCTATCAGGAATACCAAGGAGGCAAGTTAATACCTACATGTCTATGGGTATTTCCAGGCTTCTAATTTACAATCCAAATGTCAACGAAGAATAAAGGACTTTTTTTTTTTAATTCCTCACCCAAGGATATTTTTCTATTTATCATTAGATAGAGTGGGAGGAAGAGAGAGAGAGAGAGAGAGAGAGAGAGAGAGAGAGACAGAGAGAAACATTGTTGTGATAAAGCCACATCAACTGGTTGCCTCCTGCACGACCTGACCAGGGCCAGGGTTGAACTGCAACTGAGTTACATGCCTTTGACCGGAATCGAACCCAAGACTCACTGGTCCTCAGGCCAACACTCTAACTGCTGAGCCAAACTGGCCAGGGCTGGACTCTTGAACATAAGCATAAAAGTTCCTTACGTGGCATATCCAAACACAATGTTGGCGGTGACTTTCAGTGCATCCAAGATTGGAATGGTATCATCATAATCGTTTCTATTTAAAAGGTAAGAAGGCCAGATACAAATATAAAAAGTTAAACAGAATTTTAAAAAAAAGCACAGGTAATAATGTAATAAAAATGTTATAACACTATTCTACTATACATAATTAAAATTTATAGATTCAAAATTCCTTTATCAAATCACATACGTATTTACTGGAAATAATCCTGGGCACCTACACTGTTGAGATCTCTTTCCTCTTGTTAGTGTTAAACTGGAGTTACACTTGACCTCTAGCACTGGATTTTGGTTAGTATTGCTTAACAAGCAAAAACTTGTGACTCTGAGAGACATAATCATTAGTTTCACTCCTTAGTAACACAGGGTGGACACATGGGATCTGGCTCAGCTAAACTTCCTGTATTTGCAGGACCAGGACTGACACGAGTGACCAGGGCCCGCTGTGGGCGCTGTCTCTCTGAGTTCTGGAGGGATAACTGCAGTGGTTGTCAGAGGCATCTAAGGAGCTGCACCTTTCCTAGCAAGAGTCAATATCTAGACCCTTCAGTTCCTTACTTTTTTTCTATAGCAAACAGGAAAAGGTTACATTCTATACTCTGCAATCCACAAACTTAAGAGGTTCTTAGCATTTGCAGGTTTGCCTTAGATGTTGTTCGCCAAGGTTGCTATTTAACTCCAATAAGCTTTGCTGAATAAAGAGGAGGCAGATTACCTTTTCCTACACATATCCAACAAGAACACATTGAGTCCAGTTTCTTTTTCTTGCATCAATTTCAGTATATTTTGTACACACAGACAGTTTTCAGACCTATATGGATTTGGAGCATCAACAGGAACCATAAAGCTGTTCCCAAAGTTTTCATAACCATGTCCTGCATAATATAATAATCCTGAAGAGGGGAAAAAAGGGGCAAAAACCAATTCTAAATCGTACTGTGAACATGTACATAGTGTTCTTTAAAAAATATGACTTTATTTTTTTCAAGCTAATGCAAACTTATTTGAGATTCCAAGTTATAAATACAGTCAATGTTAACTAAACGTACACTGATAATTATTTTGGCAACAGTCTTCATTTTAATACTGTTTTTTCCTCAATTCATACAATTGCTTTATTCAATTCTTTCATCCATTTAGTAGATCAGTGTTTATGGGCATACTCTGTGCCAACCACTGTCCTGAGCCTCAGGATTAGCAATATAGACAAAAATCCCTGCTTTCATGAAGTGACAATCTAGTGTGAGAAGACAAACAAATAAATATATGAGATGGAGAAGAAATATGTTCGATGGAGAATTATAAAGCAGAGCAGGTGAAAAAGGAGTGTGGTTTGGGGACAGGAGTCATCTGTTTTATTTTGGGTAGTCATGGAGGCCTCTCTAGCATGGAGACATGTGAGCAGTGGCCTCCAGGACATGATGGACAAGCTACACATAACAGGGGAAGCTCATTCCGGATCAGGTGGAGGAATCACGTGGGAATGTGCTTTGCATGGGACGGTTACCAGGTCGTGTGGATGAGTAGTGTGAGCTGGGGATGAGCAATAGAAGTTTAGTACTGTATGTTAAACCAACATCATGATGCTGTCTTGGAGTGTATTTTAATTCATACACGTAACATATTTACAACAAATAGTGTAATATGGCATGCAATTTATCTGTGATGGCTATACAAAGAAAAAGGCTCAGGACTTCTTTGCTGACTCATTTGTCTCCTCGATGGGACCAGGAGCTAGCTCCTTCAGGACAGGGGCAGTCTACATTTATCTATGTATTCCTGACACATAGCGGGAGCTAAGTAAGTATTTAATAGATGAACAAATAAACACAATTTAGATGAAAAACAACTACAGTATGAGTTGTAAGAAATTCCATAGGTGTTCCAATACAAATAGTAAAGGTTACAATAATATAAATGTAGCTTTTTCCAAGCAGAGAAGGGAAATCTGATTTCACGGATTTTTTGTTGTTGTTATGAGATATAAATATCATTAATTTTTCATCTAGAGTCTCTTGAATAATCTAAAAATTGGCTTAGCTAATCAATAGATGAGCCATTATTTCTTCACTGAGAAATACTATGAAAACTGTACCAAACAACTCTCAAGATTTTCTTGAAAAGAAGTTTGTTTTAGCTGTAAAAACATCATCATCATCAGCATGGGCTTCCTTATAAAAATATTTGAGAGAGATACTTGTGAAGATATATAACCTAAGCATGTCATCTTTAGAGCCCACTAATTCTGTTCTCTTAGAATCCTGGAATGAGACTTCTGTGTATGGTATTGTAAAGTTGACAGTAAAAAGGCCTTTCGAGAACAACAACAGAATTGCCAAGCCTTTCCTTTGTAGCTATATGCACAACTCCTAGCAGACAATGTGTTTTGAATACACACACACACACACACACACACACTCACTCACACACGCTTCATTTGGTCCCAGGGTGCAGGATCCAGGTCTTCTACTTTCTTAAACTCTTATTAAAATGATAAAAATGTTTCTTTCATATGTAACATTTCAGGTCGAAAATGACGAAATGGACACACATGTTTACTCAGTGTGGGTTTAATTTTTTTTTTCTTTATTGGTTTTTGTTTTAGAGAGAGAGAGAGACAGAAACGTTGATGAGAGAGAATATTGATTGGCCGCCACCTGCATGCCCCCCACTGGGGATTTGGCCCACAACATGGGAATGTACCCTGACCAGGAATCGAACCGGTGACCTCTTGGTGCATGGGTTGATGTTCAACCACTGAGCCACACTGGCCGGGCATGGGTTTAATTTGCATCTCATGTGTGCCCTGAATATAATAATCATGTAGCACTGCAGGAAAAGAAAAAGAAAAGGAAGACGACATTCTCATCCCTGAGGTTCTTGCAACTCAGACAGGCATACTCATATTGTTAGATAAACAGCAAAGGAGCCTGGCCAGTGTGGCTCAGTGGTTGAGTGTAGACTCATGCACCAAGAGGTCACCAGTTCGATTCCTGGTCAGGGCTCATGCCCAGGTTGTGGGCCCGATCTCCAGTGGGGGGCATGCAGGAAGTAGCCAATCAATGTTCTCTCTCATCAATGTTTCTGTCTCTCTCTCCCTCTCCCTACCTCTGTCTCTAAAAATCAGTAAGGAAAAAAAATTTTTGAAAAAAAAAAAAAACAGCAAAGGAAATCAGTTTAATTAATACCTTAAATTATGTGATCAGGGCACCCTGTATGATGTGAGTGAAGCAGAGAGGAGTATCAGTGTGCGGGGAAGCAATAACGCGTGGTCTTGGGAGACAGGGAGCAATTTGGAAAGGCAGAGGGGGAGCAAGGCACCTTACAGGCAGGGAGAACAGAAGCAGGAATGACAACTAACAGGAAGAATACTAGCCTGACAAGGACTTAAATTGTCAGAAATGAAAGTAAGGAGATAAGGAGTATTTTGAAAATCATGACAAAGGGAGATTTAATTCACTAAGCAATGAAGATCAAGTAGGTGAAAGGACAACCTACAGAATGGGAGAAAGTATTTGAAAATCATATATCTACAATTTGTATCTAGGATATATAAAGAACTTTTATTTTCAACAGTTAAAAGAACAAATACCCAAGTAAAAATGGGCAAAGGATCTGAATAAACATTTCTCCAAAGTGGATATTCAAATGGCAAATAAGCATATAAAGAGATGCCGAATATCATTAGCCATTAGGGAAATGCAAAAAAGAACAGAGATCCCATTTTGCACTACAGCTATAATAAAAAAGTGTTGGCAGGATGTAGAGAAACTGGACAGCTCTTGTATTTCTGGCAAGAATATACAATAGTGCAGGCACTTTGGAAAGAGGTAGGCAGTTCCTCAAAAAGTTAAACTTAGAGTTATCCTATGGCCTAGCAACTGCACTCCAAGAGAACTGAAAACACGTGCCCACACAAGCCTGCGTACACAAGGCTGTGAGTGTTCACAGCGGCATTATTCATAATAGCCAAAAAGGAGAAACAAACTAGATGCCCATCTTCTGAGGAGTGGATAAACAAAATGTGGTATATCTATATAATGAAAGATTACACAGCCACAAAAATAATGCTACAACGTGGATGGACCCTGAAAACATTATGCTAAGTGAAAGAAGCCAGACACAAAAAGCTAGACAAGGAATGGTTCCATTTCTACGAGATGCCCCAAACCGGCCAATCCTCAGAGACAGAAGGCAGATTTGCTGTTGCCAGAGCTTGAGGAAAGGAGGGTGGGGAGTGACTTAATGGGTATGGGGTTTCTTTTTGAGGTGATGGAAATGTTCTGCAACTAGGTGAGTGTACTAAAAACCACTGAATAGTATACTATAAAAGAGTAAAACTTAAACTTCTTTATCAAGTATTCAAAATAAGACTCTATTCCCTATCAGTCTCTTTCCTGCTTCTAGAGAAAGACATGCTTATTTTTAATCTCCATGACCCGGCTGAAGTTACTAAGTTACTCTATGTCTTTTCTATCTACCCAAATCTTTTTTTTTTTAAATCCTCACCCAAGGATACTTTTCCATTTATCATCAAATAGAGTAGGAGGGAGGGATAGAGAGAGAAACATTGACGTGAGAGAGAAACATGGACTGGTGCCCCCCACCACGACCTGACCAGGGCCGGGGATGAACCGCAACCAAGGTACATGCCCTTGACTGGAATTAAACCCGCGACTCATCGGTCCATGGGTCGACACTCTCACCATTGAGCCAAACTGGCCAGGGCTCTATCTACACAAATCTTAACCAGTCCTCAAAGTTATGTCTAGTTCAGAACGCTTGGCAAGTCATCACCTGGTTTCTGCTTCTCTAACACACTCCTACTTTAAACTGTCTAGCGGCACTTGGACACTAATCACATACTGGCCTTACGGACATTTTACAGTTCTATGTACATTTAATTACTCTGATAAAAAGTGATCACAGCCCTGGCTGGTTTGGTTCAGCAGTTAGAGTGTTGGCCCACAAACCAAAGAGTCATGGGTTTGATCCCCGGCTCTGGTCAGGGTCGTGCTGGAGGCAACCAGTTGATGTGTCTCTCACATCAATGTTTTTTCTCTCTCCTTCCCCCCACAACTCTATCTGAAGATAAATGGAAAAAAATATCCTTGGGTGACGATTAAAAAAAAAAAAAAGTGTCACAACACCTGGCTGATGTGGCTCAGTGGATTGAGCATTGTCCCATGGACTGAGAGGTCCTGGTTTGATTCCCCGTCAGGGCACATGCCCAGGTTTCAGGCTCGATCTCCAGTAGGGGGTGTGCAGGAGGCAGCCAATCTACGTTTCTTTTCACATTGATGTTTCTCTCTCTCTCCCTTCTTCTCTAAAAAAATCAATAAAAACATATTTTAAAAAATAATCAAATAAGCACCTTATTTATTTAAAAAAAAATTCTCACCTGAGGATATTTTTTCATTCATGGGAGGGAAAGAGAGTGAGAGAGAGAGAGAGAGAAACATTGATGTGAAAGAGACACATTGACTGGCTGCCTCCTGCACGACCCCGACCAGGGCTGGGGACCGAACTGCAATGGAAGTGTGTGCCCTTGACAGTAATTGAACCTGCAACTCTTTACTCCACAGGCTGACGCTCCAACCGCTGAGCTAAACTGGCCAGGGCAAACAACCACCTTATTTTATTTATTTATTTTAAATGAAACATTTTATTTATTTATTTTATTTTATTTTTTTAAACCCTCACCCGAGGACATTTTTCGCGATATTTTGTTCAGATAGAGTGGGAGGGAGGGAGGGAGGGGGAGAGGGAGAGAGAGAGAGAGAGAGAAACAGTGAAGTGAAAGGGACACATGGAATGGTTGCCACCCACACGACCCAACCAGGGCCGGGGACAAACTGCAACCGAGGTACATGCCCTTAGCGGGAACCGAACCCGGGTCTCTCTGGACGGCAGGCCAACGCTCTAACCGCTTAGCCAAACAGGCCAGGGCACAACAACCTTATTTTAAACTAAAAATGTAAACCAGCTGCCAAGAAGGCACATTTATATTGTATATTTTATCATATTTTCATAAGAAAAATGAACGGATTCACCCATAGTCATTACTCTTTACACTCACAAACAAGATTACATTACTACGTCAGTATAATAGTTAAATGCAAAATTTGAGGTATTTATTTTGTTGATTCATTTGTGTTTTAATTGTAATCCTTATTATTTAAGAGAAAATTTATTTAAATAAGAGTTTAAGATTCTCCTTATCCCATATACAGTAATATGTTAAATCTAAAAAAAATTGTTTTGCTTCTGTTAAAAACTCTCCTTTGAGACCCATTACTAATTCCATGGAACTTGCCTCATCATATCAAGCTAATTAAAAATAAGGCTAAATTTAGAAATTCTTGAAGTAAAATAATTTGAAAATAGAAGCCAGATTGATGCTTTTTATTGATCACTGGCATGCCTACCAACAACCTGAAAAATGCCACTTTCCTGTCAGTCAAACGATATTGCCCAGTATCAGGACAGGTACAACCCTGTGAGATCTGGCTCAAATGAGTGAAATGGTGGGCCTCCCCATATCTGTGGTTATACCAATTGGGAGAAATAAATCACCAAAGCCATTACTTACTACTGACAGCATATTCTGTCTCTTTAGAAAATCACTACCATATATGCAGTGTTGCCCTTCACTGGAATCAAACCCGCCACTCTGGTTCGCGGGCTGATGCTCTAACTAATGAGCCAAACCAGCCAGGGCTGCAGTGTTAACATATTGAAATAAAAGAATGAAAAAAACCATTAAAAGTTTACTGTTACAATTTTTGTGGAGGTCCATTGTTAACTATAGATATATAAAACTTTAGTTTACCAAAGCTTCATATGCCTCCCTCATTCACCAACATTTCTTTGTTAAATTCTAGTTTCCATTAAAAGACCAGAATATACCGTGCAATAGTTAGAAAAAAGAAACACAGCCCTGGCCGGTTTGGCTCAGCGGTTGGAGCGTCGGCCTGCGGTCCAGAGACTTGGGTTCGGTTCCCGCTAAGGGCACGTACCTCGGTTGCAGTTTGTCCCCGGCCCTGGTTGGTCGTGCGGGTGGCAGCCACTCGATGTGTCCCTTTCACGTCGATGTTTCTCTCTCTCTCTCTTCCTCTCTCTCCCTCCCGTTCTATCTGAACAAAAAATGGAAAAATGTCCTCGGGTGAGGATAAGAGAAGAAAAAAAGAAACACAGACTGTACATAGGTTACAGCCTCTCATACTCTAAACACACACACACACACACACACACACAAAGTATTTCACATATATGAGTATATAATTTGCCATTTGGTCATCATATACTATGGCTCCCGTCATCAGTAAAAAGCAAAATCACCTAAGATTGGTAAGAATTCTAGTAAGAACAATATTGTTTTGACAAAACAAAAAAAATGTGAAAGCAAAGACATTGAGCTAATTAGTTATTCATATGGAACTATAGCATAAAGACCAAATTTATTATCTTTTACAATCTTTTACAATGACTCTTCAACAAAATATTTACTGCATTTTTCTCTGATTATTTTAAAAACTATTTTCTTCTTTATTGATTTAAGAGAGAGAGAAGGGAGAGAGAGAAATAGAGACATCGATGAGAGAGAAAGAATTGGATTGGCTGCCTCCTTCATGACCCTCACTGGGGATCAAGCCAAAACCTGGGCACGTGCCCTGACTGGGAATCGAACCGGTGACCTCTTAGTGCATGGGTTGATGCTCAACTACTGAGCCACATCAGCATGGCTTTTGCTTTTTTTTTTAAATCCTCACCAAGGACATTTTTGCATTTATCTTCAGATAGAGTGGGAGGGAGACAGGGAGGAAGAGAGAGAGAGAAACATTGATGTCGATGAGACACATCGACTGGTGCCACCCACACGACCCCAACTGGGGCTGGGGACAAACCGAAACTGAAGTGTGTGCCCTTAGCGGGAACCGAACCTGGGACTCTCTAGTCCGCGGGCTGATGCTCTAACTGCTGAGCCAAATCAGCTAGGGCTGATTTTTAACTTTTAACCTAACTTGTTCAATGAAAAAATAGGAATAATGATTAAAACGAAGATTGTAAATATCTTACCATATACTCCTTTGTCTAAAAGTAGTAAAAATTCATCCACAGCGTTACGCATCTCATATTCAGTCAGATCCAACAACGAAACGACTTTGAAATCTAGCTGTCTTAGCAAGTTGGTCAATTCATACACATCCACCAAAGGAGCTTTAAGCTTGGGATGCTCCCAGTAATTCATATTTCCTATCAAAAGGGCAACTTTGTCCTTTGCTGTTAAAAAAAAAAAGGGAGGGAAAGATTTAAAGAAGGATATAAAGATTAAAATGAGACCTACGAAAATGGTATCATAATAAAAAATATGCTGTTTTACAAATAAGATTTCAATATTTAATTTCATCTTAGAATGATCACTTTATACAGCAGACCAACATACTGAGGACCACAAAAGCTAATAAATCAAACAACTGAAATTAAACTTATTGACATTTTTGACAACCAGGCAAAGGATATTTATTAGCTGTGAAGTATAGTGGTAACTAATATTAAAGTATACTTTTATTGAATTAAAATAAAAGTAAAGAAGAGTATTATATTCAACGAGACTTTCAGAACAAATTTAAACAAGGAATGTTTGAAATTGAAAATGAAATCAAGTTAGTTTTGCTGACAACAGAAGAAGCTAAAAACAAAAGAAACACCAAAAAGAGGAACAGGAAGAATTAGAATCGAACAAGTAAGGAAATATCAAAGAACAGAAAAGCAGCAACGTAAGTACCATATCTATATTTTTTTCAGTTGATATACTGTCATCTCTTGACTTTAAAAGAAAAAAAAATCCCATTTGGGTGAGATGAGGCTACTTTAGGGATATGGGAAGACTTTTGTACGAATATCTTAAGTTTATTTTCTGACTTTAGTGCACTTTGTTCAAAACTGTATTCTCATACAAAGAATTTTTCTGTTTTGAAGGGACAAAAGATTCCCCCAATGCCTTACAAAGTACCAGCTATCTTAATCGGGTGTACAGATTGTCCAAAAACAGCTGCGGAAGCCTGGACATAGCTCAGTGCTTAAGAGGTCTTCGAAATGTTCCTCTGCTAGTTGAGGCGGGGTCAGAAGTTAGACGTGGGCCACGCCAGCACTGCAGGACCTGTGCGGACCTTTGAAGGAGACACAGGGCGCAGTGGAGATGGCGTCGCAGGAGCACTGGGCAGCACCAGCCAACTGGCTGAGGAACCACACTGGGCAGGACTGCGGCCACCTCCTGCTGACACAGGCCAGGGCTAGGTGACCAACCTCTGTCACAAAGTGCTGCTAAGTAGTTTACTTAGAAATTATTATGAAAGCACAAATAATTACACTGCTGACTTCACGTCTGCAATATTTAATAAAATTTCAGATGTTTCAAATCATTTAGTTGTTTAAATTTCACCAAAAATCTCTGGTGAAGTTTCTTCTCTTTCCACAGAACACTAAAGCTCGTGTTAAACAAGGTTTGGAGAAAAACTAGTACCAAAGAACGTGACGCTCTCAAAGTGGCAGAAAACCCCATTTTGTGAAAAGTTTTACTACTTTCATGTTTTGGTATCTTTATTCCATATTTACATTTTCCGAGATTTCTTGCAAATTGCCCATTCTTATGCGTATGCACATTTTAGAAAAAAATAGTGATACCTAAGCCACATTCTAATTGAATAAGTCACTTAAGTCCTATACAAATAATAATCTCTTCTTTTATGCAAAAGAAAGGGCCAATTATGAAGACTATTTAATATATAAGGATTCAGCCCTGGCCGGTTTGGCTCAGCGGTTGGAGCGTCGGCCTGTGGTCCAGAGAGACCCAGGTTTGGTTCCCGCTAAGGGCACGTACCTCGGTTGCAGTTTGTCCCCGGCCCTGGTTGGTCGTGCGGATGGCAGCCACTCGATGTGTCCCTTCACATCGATGTTTCTCTCTCTCTCTCCCTCCCGCTCTATCTGAACAAAAAATGGAAAAATGTCCTCGGGTGAGGATAAAAAAAAATATATATATATGTACCCATATATATATGGATTCAGATATAAAGCTTATATTAAACTACCTTTAGTTCCAAAACTCAATGAAAAAGTTGAGAATACTCAGGAAGGATTTCAATAGGAGGCAGTAATAACTTAATCACTGTATTTCCTTTTTTTACAGTTTTTCTTTCTTTTTTTTTCTCCTCACCTGAGGAAATTTTTCCATTTTTTGTTCAGACAGAGTGGGAGGGAGAGAGAGGAAGAGAGAGAAAGAGAAACATCAACGTGAAAGGGACACATCGAATGGCTGCCTCCCAACCAGGGCCAGGGACAAACTGCAACCGAGGTACCTACTTTTAGCGGGAACTGAACCAGGGACTCTCAGGACTGCAGGCCAACGCTCTAACCACTGAGCCAAACCGGCCAGGGCTACAGTTTTTCTTAAATAAACTAGACCAAAGTACTCACTATGTAGTGAGGCTATTCGCTAGCTAGCCCACAGAAAGGAAGGATTCTCAGTGTATTTTTTGGTGGGCCACCAGCCCTGTCACAGTTCAGTCCCAACCTCAACGCAGTGAAGAACTCGGTCCAATCCATTGTAAGTGAGAAGAGATGTGTTGTCTCTGGCTTACACCATTCACATAACCTTGTGAATTGTGGGGTTCACAAGGTTACTCAGGTAGTAAAGTGTTTGCAAATCATAGTGGGTTTTTTAGGGGAATATTATAATAATTTAATTCTAAAATGTACCCTAAATGAAGTTTTACTGTCAGAAAACAATTAGAAGGTATGTAATAGAAAAAAACCACTGGGATCTTTGGGGGAAAAAAAACAGTTGTCAAACTATGCATGATAGGCTGTTTCTGCTAATATCAATTCTGGATTCATTGGTTTTGCTATTTGATTGGAAAAAACACTTGGTATAGTTTACAGAATACAAGAGTTCCACAAATTATGAGCATTAAAATATATGTATTAATAACTGACTATAGCTCTTCAAAATATTGTCCCTATTGATAATTTTCAATAGCTAGTTTCCAAAATGTCTTAGAGCATTTTGTTGAAATAAATGGAAATAAAATGATGAGTAAATAATCTTACCTTGTCCAATCTACTTGTAAACGGTTCCTGAATGACAGGTGAACTGGGGAAGATTTAGAACAGAGAAGCAGACAGCAGTGATTGAAATGAGAGATGACAACCTCATTCCAGGAAATTAATTGTAGGAAGAAAAGGAAAAGCCAAAGTTTAGAGATATGATAGAGGACAAAAGAGCAAAATTTGAAGTTGGGAAAATAAGAGTGAGGAATTAAAAAAAACTTCAAAATAGCAACTATATAAGCAATTTATGATGGTTTTCAGGTGATAATATAAATGGAAGAAACTTTCTATAGAAAAACACTTACTGTAAGAGCCACCCACAATTTCCTGAATATAAACCATTTATTGGAAAAAGGAAACACAAATGAAAGTTGATTAAGCAATAGAATAAAACCATTTCACAAAAATGTTTAACTACATGATCCTAGACATTTTCCAAAGCTCAATGCAATGTATTCTTTAAAAATTGGTACAGTGTTGTAACATTAATTCCATGTCTAATAATCTAATGGTGTGTTACTCATCTTATCTAAAATAAATATTCATAAGCATCTAGAAAAGGTCTGGCACATATTTAGTGCTATGCAAGTTATTTGTTAAAGAACATCTTTGACCATCTATCAAAAACTGAGTATTAGCATCAAATCTGACTAGTTGAATATACAGTCCTTGTTGGTCTCGTGAGTAAAATCTCTGTATCCTACAAAATAAAGTTCGAAATCCTTCGACTAGCAAACAAAGCCATTCATATTCTGGTCCCTGCCCGCCTCTCCAGCTGCTGTAAAATATGGCCCCCAATGAACCACAGTATCCTTGCTCTCACAAGTGTAGTTTCCCAAACCCCAGCCCCCAGCCTCTAGTCCCGAACCTGGGCTGCCCTGTGACCCTCTTTGAAGAACATAATGTGGGGTGACACTCTGCCACTTCTGAGTCTAAACCTGAAGAAGTCTGACAGCTTCCAGTTTGGTGATCCATGTAAAGAAATGCAGCTACATGGCAGGACCACATGGGTAAGGACAGGAGGGGCGAGAAAGGGAGAGGGTGGAGTAGACCAAGAACTCGTAACAGGAAAACAGGGGCGCACATGCCTCTTGAAAAGGGCAGCCACAACTGACAGCTACCATTTAAAAATTTTTTTTTCTTTCGTTTTTTAATCCTCATCCAAGAATATTTTTCCATTGCTTTTTAGATAGAGTGGAAGGGAGAGAGGGGGAGAGAGAGAGAGAACCATCAATGTGAGAGACACACATCGATTGGCTGCCTCCCACACAACCCCTACTGGGGCCGGAGATCAAACTTGCAACTCAGGTATGTGCCCTTGCCCGAAAATCAAATCTGTGACCCTTGGGTCCACAGGCTGATGCTCTAACCGCTGAGCCAAACTGGCCAGGGCAAAGTTACCACTTTCCATAAGAACCTAGAAATCTTAATTTTCATATGCTAGCTGATCAGTGACAACTAATTACAATTGTTAAAAACTTCTATGCCTCCCCCTCAAAGGTTAGCCAGTTTTGTGCCCTTTTCTCTATGGCCTGTAGCAAAATCCCACGTTTACTGCCCCTTGGTTTTAACTTCCCTATCTATGCTGATGACAATCATAACTGTATCTCTAATCCTGACCTCTCCTTAGAGTTCCAGATCCATGTATACAATTGCCTGCTGCACATCTTCACCTAGATGTGACACAAATACCTTAAACTGACAGTTACCTGTCCTTTGAAGCTTGCTTTTGATTCTGTATTCTCCAACTCAATGGTGGTATCATTACCCACCTAGCAGGACAAGCAAGATTCCTAGCCCTGGCTAGTTTGGCTCAGCGGTTGGAGCGTTGGCCTGTGGACCAGAGAGTCCTGGGTTTGGTTCCTGCTAGGGGCATGTACCAAAAAAAAAAAAAGAAGAATCCTAGCAGGCATGGTTATTCCTCTCTATTTTTAATACCCTATAGCAAGATAACAAAAAAGCTTACTTTAAGTGATTCCATCACCTAAAGATCTGAATTTGTTCTTGTCTTCTGCATTCTCATTGGTAACCCTAGCTTAGATTATCATTTCTTCTCTAGACTATTGCAGATTAAGAAACTATTAAGTCTCTTAATTTTTCTCCTAAACCAAACACCTCTATCTAGTTTACTTTCTACACCAATGCAAGACTGGCCTTCCAGAGGTACAGCTCATTCACCCTCTCCACCAAAATGTTTCCTTTCAGTGGTTTAAATGAGTAACAAGACTCCTGCACACCTGGTCTTGCCTCCTTCTCTGTATGCTCCGGAGCAAGGTGTGTTCCTTGCAGTTCCCCAGATTCAACAGTCTCATTTCTCTACCACGCTGCACTTAGGATTTCAGGCTCCCTCTGTCTGGAAGGCCCTTCTACTCCTACTTCAAAATGTAGAGCTGCTATAGCAACCTCTCTGCTGCTTTTCCAGTCTAACCCCACCAGAGACAGTATTATTCACCTCCATTAACATCCATGTTTATCTGTTTGCATGTTGCCAAAGCAAAGAAATCACTCCTCAGAAGCTGACTTAGTCCCAGAAACTGAATTAATAATCTTTGTAAGCCTTCTGTTCCATAGTTTATTTGACAAATATCCACAATAAACCATTTGGTCTCAATGTCACTTAAGTGTTTATAAAAGTTGTCAAATTAAAATGTCTTAAATCTCTTAATGCTCACCATAAAAGGGATATACACTATGATTATATTTAAAAAAAATTTTTTTTTTTTTATCCGTGAGGATATTTTTCCATTTTTTGTTCAAATAGAGTGGGAGGGAGAGAGAGGAAGGGAGAGAGAGACAGAAACATCGATGTGAAGGGACACATTGAGTGGCTGCCACCCGCACGACCAACCAGGGCCGGGGACAAACTGCAACCGAAGTACATGCCCTTAGTGGGAACCGAACCCGGGTCTCTCCGGACCGCAGGCCGACGCTCTAACCGCTGAGCCAAACCGGCCAGGGCACTATGATTATATTTTGATCAAGCATTTTAAAACTCTACTCACCCAAAGGTTGGTCAGCTGTTTGCTCTTTATTATCTATAAAAAAACAAAAATGCAAAGAAATAAAGTGTTATTATCCATGACACAAGTATCTTCAGGTAGAGATCTATGAATACCATCAACAGCATTAAAAGACAGAATATGGTTTATAGTAGCTAACTTATGATGTTAAGACTTCCAAATTATTGACAAAAAACATGTACTAGGATGGAAAGAATTGGAACCAAAGCAGGGGCATGTCTTTAGAAATGGATTGCCATCGCTGGGGGTAAGAACCTTTAACCTGCTAGGTAGGAATCACAATCTGAACACAGTGGTGGGGGGAACAGGCAGCAGCATCAGAGGAGTTAGCATATACTGAATGCGGGTCTGGTGCTGTTACAGGTGTTTCAATACAACTGATTAAGATGAACATCATTTGACTCTTTGAGGTATATACCATTATTACCTCCATTATACAGGTAAGGAATCTGAAACAGAGAGAGATTAAATCATTTGCCCAAAGTTATCAAATTAGTGGATCTCATTCCATAGTCCATGGTCTCTGCCATCTACTCCACATAAAATGAAATATTTCTCACCCCTGAAGACCATGTGGGAAGAGACACAGGGAAAGATGGAATTCAATTAGTAATGTGTCTACTACTACAGACAGGGTAACTTTTGCATTTCAAATCATTTATATGCTACTGGAATCTATTAAGTTTATTAAATGTTCTTTTTTTAAAAAAACAGTAGTCCCAGAGACGTGGAAGTGGCGTACAGACTGACAATCCCCAGAAGAGAGGGTGTGGGAAGGAGATAAACCACAGAACTTATGTGCATGTATGCATGAACAATGGACATGGACAACAAAGCTGGGGACAGGGTGGGGAGGGAGGGGGAGGAGGGTATCAGTGGGGAAAAAAAGGAGAAACATCTGTAACAAAAATAAATTAATTTAAAAGAAAAAAAAATAATAAAGACAGTATTTTTTAGTGTCTCTGAATCTTGAAGAGGAAAGATATAATAAAAGAGGAGGCCAAGAAAATTTTAGAAGTTTAGTGGTAGTTGTTTGCAAAAGTCTTCCTGAAGTAACTTTTCACAATGTTCACTTAAGGGCAAGAAATAACAGACCGATTCAGGAAAAAAGGGTTCTAACCAGACAAGAGAAACAACTAGCTACACCACTAGGATGGTCTGTGGCAGTCAGTAGGTTTGGAGGTGGGGACGTCTCGCTGAGGCTTCCCCTGAGCTCCAGGCTGGTGTGGCAAGAATGACACAGAACTGTTATACATATTTGAATAACACTGAGAACAAATAGTTTATTTTGGATATCTGTAAAAGAAATTATAGAACAGAAGATTAAAATCTCTTAAAAGATTATAAATTCAATTTACCCCAAACCAGTGTCCTTCTGGTTTGTATAATTTGCTTATATATAATCAGCATAGTCTAATCATTCCTCACAATAATAGATGTTTATTTTTAAAAATATGGGCATGAAACAAAGAAACAGGTCCCAAATGAATGAACAAGTGATATCTCCAGAAAAAGAACTAAATGAAATGGAGGCAAGCAAACCACCAAATACAGAGTTCAAAACACTGGTTATAAGGATGCTCAAGAAACTTAGTGAGAACAGCATGAAAAAAAAGAGAAACCATAAAAAAGAACCAGTCGGAAATGAAGGATACACAAACTGAAATGAAGAATAATTTACAGGGAATCAACAGTAGAGGAGATGAAGCCAAGAATTAGATTAGCGATTTAGAGTATAAGGAAGCAAAAAGTACCCAATCAGAACAGTAGAAAGAAAAAAGAATCCCCCAGAAAGAAGGTAGTGTAAAGAGCTTCTGGGAAAACTTCAAGCTTACCAACATTCACATCATGGGGGTGCCAGAAGGAGAAGAGAGCAAGAAATTGAAAAACAATTAGAAAAAAATGACAGAAAACTTCCCTAACCTGGTGAAGAAAACAGGCAGATAGGTCCAGGAAGCACAGAGAGTCTCAAACAAAATGAACCCAAAGAGGCCCACACCAAGACATACCATGGGATGATGTTCCAACCAACTGAGCCACACTAGCCAGGGTTAGAATATTTTTTACTATTTTCACTTGCATGAAATTGTATTTCATGTAAGTACTAATTTCAATATTAAATCATAATACTATTTTAATAAGGAAAAAGGTTACCAGTACTACTATAGCAAAAGAATATCTATAGTATCTTTAAATTATTGTATTCAATAACTTAAAAATCTAAAACTAATGTTTTACGTTTATATTACTCACCAGGATGCCCAAGATGATGTAATTCATCTGAAATAGAAAATAGATTAGCATTAAATAATTTAACTGCTGATTTAGCATAAATAGTAAGACTAATTAGAGAAGGTTTTGAGTTATTAAATCATGTTGTAAGTTTCACCAGTTTAAAACATTTCAAATACATTAAATGAAAAGCCATGCAAAACTGAATAGGAAAGAATATTGTTGTGGATATCATTAAGGACTTCTAAGCTACTAAAAAAAGTAAATAGACTCATTCATAATTTGTTCAAAGTTTTAGGTATTCTGGCCAATTATGAAACAAACACAATCAAGAAATATGTCTGTCTGTGGTCTCAATCATAAACTTCTTGAAACTTAATAATCTCAAGTGATCCTTTCTTTTTAAATAAACTTTAAATTTTAGAACAGTTTAAGATTTACAGAACTAATGTGACGAGAGTGCAGAGTTCATGTAAACACCCCTACTCAGTTTCCTTATTTTTAACATCTTATGTTAGAAAGATATATTTGTCACAACCACCAACATTCTTTTTTATTTATTTATTTAGTTTTTTATCCTCACCCGAGGATATTTTTCCATTTTTTGTACAGATAGAGTGGGAGGGAGAGAGAGAGAGAAACATCGATGTGAAGGGACACATCGAGTGGCTGCCACCCGCACGACCAACCAGGGCTGGGGACAAACTGCAACCGAAGTACGTGCCCTTAGCGGAAACCGAACCCGGGTCTCTCCGGACCGCAGGCCGACGCTCTAACCGCTGAGCCAAACTGGCCAGGGCACCAACATTCTTTTTTTGTTCCAAGACCCCATTCAGGACACCACATTACATTTGCCTACGTGGCCTTAGGCCCCTCTTTGTTGTAACAGTTTCTCAGACTTCCCTTGCTTTTGATGACCTTGACAGTTTTGAGAACTTACTGATGAGGTATTTATTGTGTAGAATGTCTCTCAGGTGGGATGTGTTGATGTTCTTCTCATGGTTAGACTGGTATAATATGCTTTTGGAGGCACAGTGGTTTCAGAATTCTTAACCTGTACCCACTGGCTAAAGGACATCGTCTAAGCCAATATCACGACATTATAGCCATATATTTTTCTTTACAAATATTATGAAGATAAAAATTAATATTATAGTTGTCCCTCGTTTATCGCGGTTAATCCGTTCCAGACTCGAGCGGTTGCACCTGGCATTGAAGTGTTCCTGAAGTGCTGGAATACATAGGCCTACAGTCCATACATACAGTAATTTCAATTTTAATTGTAATATAGGGGTGTATATTGACTCAGACAACCAAGCGCACACTGTATCATTTTCACTCTCGATCAACTTTTTAATGAATATATTTGAAAAAACTGCAATAGAGTGAAGCCACTAAAGTTGAAGCGCGAAGTGGCAAGGGGCAACTATAATAAGTTACAAGAGTTATACTATTCATTAGATGTTAGGTAGAACTTATTCTTCTATGTGATGTAAAATCAACTAAAGAGCAGCATCAGCCAGAGTACAGGGTTATATAAAATATCTTTTGCCTTTTATCTTACAGATTTCTCTCATTTCTGATTACATAGGTCAGCACCTGTTCTTCCTTCCCTTCTTCAGTGAGGTTGCTTTATATATTTATAGTAAGTTTAGATTCTTTTGTAATATTCTGCATTCCATCCTGGGATCGACCCTCCTCTGACCTCCTACTAAATGATTTTTTAAAAACTTGCACACATGTAATTCACCATTACAGTGGTCACACAGAATAGTTTCGCTGCCCTAACAAACTCCCAAGCTTCACCTGTCCAATCCCTACTGCCTGTCCTAATCAAATACCTTTAACAAAATACCTAAAATGAAATAGGTAACATCATGTTTTATGTGTAAAACAGATATGATGTTAGGACATTATTCATGATATGTGTCAACCCACCAATTTATAAAAGGTTTCAATTCTGTAGATTTTTTTTTAGAAAAAAAATTTTCCATCTGAAATTTCTGGAGTCATTTCATTGTTGGATTTTCATCTCTAAGTGTTTGGAACAGATTTATTGGAAAGTTATTATTTAACAGTGTGTCTGTTATTGCAAAAATTATAGGAAGAATCTTGCAGATAAGGAAGCAGTACAGCAAAGTGATAATGTATAGGCATCACCCTGAAAACAAACAGAACAGCAACGCTAGTTTTATTGATTAATTCTTAGAGGTTTCCAATGTTAGGAAGTTTTAAAAATCATGCAATTAGACATAAAAGGAGTAAGAGGAGAAAAAAGTTGGTTATAATTTCTTCATGTAGCTTCCCTCATATAGGACCCAAAGACCACAGGATTGAAATCCCCCTTGGCTAAAGAACTCCCGTTCATAATTATGTATTGGGATGAAAATAGTAATTATAATATTTCAAAGGGATAACATAGTGATACAAAGAACAAGGAAACGTAAGATTTAACATTTTCTTACTTTACCCAAGTAGAGCCTAAAGTTATAGTTTAAAGAGGCAGAAATTGAAAAAATACTTTGCTATCCACAAACCTAATTTTGCAAATAATGTGATATTATACTAAGGGGACTTAAGTTTTAATATTTACTCATTAAAACTTATTTGCAATGCTTTGGTAAATTAAAATAAGTTAGAAACTTATGCTGAAATAGATTTTAAATTCTCTTTGTATATTATGGCAAAGGTGACATGGTAGATTCATCTACAGCCCTGTAACTTCAAAAATTGGATCATACCAATTTTATTGTGAAACAGAATATTTAATATTTGCTAAAACATATGTTAAACAATAAATCTCTCTGAAACTTTTATAGAAAACATATTTGTATTTGAGAGGCATGTTGTCATGGCTAAAGGATAGAAAAAATAATCTGAACAAGTTTCCATGATAGCAGAGCCAGCCACCTTTTTTTTTTTTAACAATTTTTATACAGATAAAAATTAGCATTAAGAATTAACTACAATTGTTCACTATTCATAAGATGTATGCAGGAATGTTATTCTTATATACATTAGAAAATCAACTGAAAACTAGTTATTTTAATCATGTGTCAGTTTAACAGTTGTCTGTGGCAATTTACAAACCCTCAAAGACTAAGATATAATATCCTTCCACTGAAATTATTTCTTGTAGCTAGTATTTTTTCCATCACTGCACTCAGTAGGCTGGAGCACTCCGCCACTCCCAAGAGAAACCAGCATGCAGGACATTTGGTTTCAAACCAAAGGATTACACTACCTTCAGTGCACTCCACTGCCTCATCTGTTCTTCCTTGTTCCAGAGAAAACAAATGTGAATATATTGTAATTCATGATCTTAGGAAGGGCAGCCTTCAAGCAAACAATAAATATCACAGAAATATGTTGGCAAACCAACATACGCATCAACATCTCCTATTAACATCATAACTATAAATGCATTAAGTTTAAATAGAATAAACTCCCAAATTATGTACTTCATAATGGGGATTGTTGATTAATCATCATGCTTTCCTTCATGTTTTTGAGAAACATTGATGTGAAAGAGACACATTGATTGGCTGTCTTTTTAAAAAAAATTTTTTTCTTTATTTTTAGAGAGAGAGGAAGGGAGGGAAAGATATCAATGAGAAGGAACATCAATTGGCTGCCTTCTGCATGCCCCCCACTGGGGGTTTGGTCCACAACTGAGGGGTGTGCCCTGACTGGGAATTGAACTAGCGACTTCTTGGTGCATAGTTCAATACTAGACCACTGAGCCACACCAGCCAGGCGACTGGTTGCCTCTTGAATGACCCTGACCAGGGCCAGGGATTGAACCTGCAATCCAGGTATGTGCCCTTGACCAGGAATCGAACCTGAGACCCTTCGGTCCATGGGCCAACACTCTTAACTGCTGAGCCAAACAGGCCAGGGCAAAATCAAGCTCTTATTTTGATTTTTTACATGTTTTTTAAATTGATTTATTTTAGAGAGAGAGGAAGTTAGAGAGAGATAGAAACATTGATGTGAGAGAGATACACCAATCAGCTGCCTCCTGCACGTCCCTTACTGGGGATAGAGCCTGCAACCCGGACATGTGCCCTGACCAGGAATTGAACTGGACCTCTCAGTCCATGGGATGATGCTCAATCTACTGAGCCACACTGGCCAGTCCAAAATCAAGTTTTTTATAATTAAAGTTTTGATGCACTTTTTGCCAGAAGTGTTTAAAATAAACTATAAAATTTAAAAAATAATTAAAAAGATCTAAATAAAAAACTATTTTTCTGGTTCTTTTGGGCCATGGTGTATAAACCTAGATTTTGAATATAGTATGTATTCTCTCAAATTTGTATATAGAGAATGTAACTCCTGATACTTAACGCACCATTAAATAGAATAGGGCAATAGGTAGGAGAACTTTCATTGTCTAAATGCATTTTATATAGCTTCTATTATGCTCCATTTGTCAGAACACTGAGTAACACTGCTTACCTATGATGATTTCTACCTTCTTGCTATCTTGACTGTCTCGATCATTATATACATGACACCAATAGGTTCCTTGATGTTCCAAATCCACATAAGGCACCTGTATCAATATCAGAACACACACACATTTCCTCTTCAGTTTTAATTTAAATTGGCTTGGAGAAAAAGCTATTTTAGATTTTAAAAAGCCCCTACAAAACAAAATTTTGGAAGGCTATAGACAGTTGTGAACTATTATTTCCATTCACTAGATTAAGTATTAGTTTAAGCAAATGATACAATGAATCCAGTAACAGTGAGTTTGGTGTAATACTATATTTGACATTTCAGTATAAGCCCTTAGCTACAGGCTGGTGTTGTTTTCTAGCACTTTTTGCAAATATACAAATCAAGTAATATTAAATAACAAGGACTTGAAACAAAAAGACTGAGAACATAAGAACATCCCCGACAAATATGAATTTTAATGTTCACCTTAATTTTCAATTATACTATTTATTTTACATATTAGCACAAAAAATACCCCGAAAACCAACTTCCTACCATGTATATCTTTTTTGTCTCATGAGCTAGCGGGGACTCGTTTCTGAACCACTGGTAGTGAGGAATGGGGCTCCCCACAGCAACGCACTGCAGGACCAAAGTGCTGCCGGGCATCAGCTTTTGGGACCTCGGCTCAACACAGATTTGCAACTTGGACTCAGAGATGCCTTCCAAACTTCCTTAAATTAAAAGAAAAGTATCAGTGAACATAAATAAAATCTCTAAGTTAAAAATAAAATTTCCCCCTGTAATTAAAAAAAAAAATGTTTTCAAGTTCATCCTTCATTTTTACAATCTTTATTTAATAGCATCTCCCAAACAATGTTTCATTAAACAATAGCATTTCTAGAAATATTAAGAAATGTTTTGTGGATAAAAGAATACTGTGGACAAATAAGTTTAGAAAATAAGTTTTTTTTCTTTATTGATTTTTTCTTTTAGAGAGAGTAAGGGGAGAAAAAGAGATAGAAACATCAATGAGAGAGAACATCGATTGACCGCCTCCTGCTTGCCCCCAACTGGGGATTTGGTCCACAACCTAGGCATGAGCCCTGACCGGGAATCGAACCAGCGACCTCTTGGTGCATGGGTCAATGCTCAACCACTGAGCCACCCCGGCCGGCTAAAAAATAAGTTTAGAAAATTCTGGATTAAACAAAGTTAAACAGATTTTTTAATTGCAGGACTTGTCAGAGTTTTCAGAGTGTTAGTATGCATTGTGTATGTAAGAGGGGAAAATAGTTCAAGTGGTTTCCAAATGTGTTTGGCCATAGAATCTTTCTGGTGGGGGCAAACAATTTACTAACATCTTGAGTGATATTTATGTTCAACACAGAAAGATCTACATTCTGCACTTGGATTTAACTTGACTTATTAAAATAAGTTTTGTTATTAGTACTGAATAAATATGCATAGGTTATCACTAGCATTTCTTCCCAAGGCAGATATCAGAAAGCATTGTTCACTGAACACTCATTGTTACTCTTTAAGTTCCTTGAGGACAGAGGGCTTGCCAATGTTATGTCATAACAGGTCTCCATCATGAAACTCGCTGTCTCACAAATTGCAGGTGATCAATAATATTTGTTGAATAAGATTCTATTAAATTTCATTACATGCACAGAAATATTCTAGAAAAATATAAATAACTATCTTAATGAATCACAACAATTTTTAAAAATATTTATTTAGGTTAGGAAAAGCTAAATTGAGAGGGAAGAATGAAGACGGACTATAACAAAAAGCCCATTTCCCTCCTCTTCTTTTTTTCTGGCAAAAATGATGAAGGATATGGTCTTGACTGTGTGTGTGAAAAAATAAAATATTGTCTGATGGCTACTCTTTAGAGTAGGCTGTTTCTTTTTTTTCCTAGATCAATACCATTAGACTAAAAAGGTGGATGTCAAAAAGTAGAAAAATAGTTTGATGAAATGTTTTATTGCAGCAAATAATATACTATATGCCCTTTTATGTCAACATCAACTCTAGAGTTTTATTCCACAACACAATTTTTTAGGAGTAATACAGTATTTGGGAGAAAAACATACAGTGCAGTGCAGAAAGAAACTGAAAAGTGAGCAAGACTATTAGATTTTTTTTCTCCTCCAAAACCAAAGACTATAAGATTTAAATCTATGAAAGAAGGCAAGTCGGAGGAGGTCAGCAGCAGGGACAGAGAAGGGTTCTGTGTCATCCGAAGGCATTTGTGTGTGTGTGTGTATAGAGAAGAGAATCAAAGTACAAAGGATAAAATCTTACCAGCTGGTGACCTTATACTGGGTGCAGAACATATGTGAGCTTTTGGTAATATTTTGATACTTTGAAATTATTCAAAAGTAAACATTTAAAATAAACAAAAATGAGGTAATTCCCTTCTCAACATTCAACTTAATTACTTACCCTGGAAGCTTTCTGTTAATTCTGTGACATCACACACATCCAGCTGTGACCACTGGCTGAATTCAAAGGTGCAGCTATTGTTCACTCGGCAGACATAAAAGCCTGCATCTCTTACATGCACTGTGTTAAAAACCAGTTCTGAGGCATTTCCATTTGGAATCTGTGAAACAATCAGTAAGAGACTCACCAACACATGCCTTATAAAATACACCGTGCAAAATATACTGTGCCTTTGGGGTTTTGAAAAGTGTATCTTTTTTCTAAGTTCTAAAATATTTACTTAAAAAACAAATAACATTTCGCGCTGGCCGGTGTGGCTCAGCGGTTAGAGCGTCGGCCTGCAGTCCTGAGAGACCCAGGTTCGGTTCCCGCTAAGGGCACGTACCTCGGTTGCAGTTTGTCCCTGGCCCTGGTCGGTTGTGCGGGTGGCAACCACTCGATGTGTCCCTTCACGTCGATGTTTCTCTCTCTCTCTCTGTTCCTCTCTCTCCCTCCCACTCTACCTGAACAAAAAATGGAAAAATGTCCTCAGGTGAGGATTAAAAAAAAAAAAAAATTTCAAGTGATTTAGGACTAAAGTCTTACAGTTTTCTACAAATCCATTAAACAAAGAGCTTGCTCCCACATATCTTCCCAAAACTCACTAACAGAAACCTATTGTTTTGTCATCTAAAACTGTCCAACTGTTGGTACCTAAAGAATCTACAATGTCAACATTTAGAGCTAAGTAGCCATAGGACATCTCAAATACCATGGTGAAGTGGAGAGCACACAGAAAGTTGGGCCTGGCTACCAATCTCAGATCTGACCAAAGTAGTTGTTAGTAAGTTATTTCCCCTCAAGACTGTTTTTTTTTTTTTTTTCATCTGTGAAATTCTATAAGAGGGTAGACTCCTCAACCAATATACTTCTTTCAAGGTCTGGGCAGAGAATGGCTATAGAAAGCATATCAGTGATGGGAAGAAATAGCTACCCAAGGGTTTCCCAAGCTTTGGTCACCACATTAAGGTTTGTTTCACCTTTGCTGCCCCCATCATCAGTGCCACCCAACTCTGCATGTTGCCAAGGAGCTTAGTCAAGTGCCATGTTCTATTACATTAGCTCCCCTGCAAAGTCCTTTAACGAGCTCAGCCCTCTCTCTCCAACCACAACTGATTGAATTAAATTCTCTCCTTTCTCAGAAGCTGCACCAAAGCAAGACATTTTGCTGAAGATCTCACAACTGGGGTGGCAGGCTGCCCTTAACTCTGCCTGACAAACCTGCCTCGGTACTCTACTAGGTTAATAGATTTAGTTTCCTATTAGACCATTCATGTACCCTTTCTCTCTCCTCAAACCTCCTGCAACCCTTCTTCTCTCAGCCTTGACTTCAGAAACTCTTTCCTCTTCCTGCCACCAAATCCCACACACATCTATGTCTGTGCCTATTTACACCTGCTCTCTTCCCTACTGCAGAAATAGGAGAAGGTGTCTTCATAACAAAGGCTACTTAGGCTTAGGATCCGTGGGGATCCACTCAAAACCCCTGAGTTGGTATGAAGATTAGTTCAAGCTGAAGACATCTGGGATCAACAAATGCATAAGAGGCCTCTCAGGGCTTCCCTTACCTCACTAAAAGCAGACGCTTCTGCGAAACTAGGCGACCATAAATTCCCGCTTCGGGGCAGCTTCTACTCCCAGGAAGGAGACCAAGAAGGACCTACAAACTCCCTCTCCAGAGAAGTTTTATGGGCGTGAAGAAGATGAAAAGACCACTTGAACCTGGCATAAATAACCAATTATCAAAAACTTTCTTGTCTCCCATGTATTCTTCTAGAAATCCCTTTGCATTTCCTAAAGAAACTCATTTGTTCTCCCTCCTTCCTTTTCCCTGCTAAGTTAGGTACATAAGCTTCTAACTCTAACCATTCACAGAGATACTTTTGTAAGTTCCCATATGAAAAAACCTTTTCTCTTCTTCATTTTGATTTTGTCAATTAATTCACAGGCCCCCAGGGATTGAACATAAGAGGGTAGAGAAAAAGGATTTCCCTCCTTGACAGTCCCTGACCTTGCCTCTGTAATTTTCTCTCTGCTTTAGCATCTATTTCTCTCTCTTACTGTCTCACTCTAAAAAATACTCCAATTTCTTGTGTCTTAAATAAACAACAACAACAAAAACCACACAAATAAATCTCCCTTGACCCACATCCCCTCTTAGCAGCACTGAAAATGCTGACCATCACTTTTTTGGTAAAATACTTTCCCTTTCAGGCTCCTTACCGTTCTCTCCTGGCTTTCCTCCTCTCTTTCTCTCTCGCAGATTCTTCTTTAGTTTCCTTACTGGTCCCTCCTCCACCACAGAAACTTTCAACATCATCTCCCCAGATATCCAAACTGACTAGCTAATTCATTCAGATGTCTAATAGGCACTTCAAACTTAACATATCTAAAACCAAATTCTTGATTTTTCTCCCTAAATCTATTCTTCTTCTAATCATCAACACCTCAGTACGTAACATGTCCCCAAATGCTTAAGTAAAAAATCCAGGGACCATCATTGATCTCTCTTCCTTTTTCCTCACACTCCATTTCCAATCTATGGGTTTGGTTAACTCTCTCTCTAAAACACACTGACTGATGCACTTGACTCCAGCCCACAGCCTCACACGACTATCCCTAGCCTGGCACAGGCAGTGAATAACTGGTCTTCTCGCTTCCTTCAAGCAGCAAGTCTGTGTTCTAAAAACATAAATCCTATCATGTTACTCTTCCTGCTTAACACGTTTAGAGGCTTCTCACTTTCTATCACCCTGTTTATTGTCCTCACAGCTCTTAACTCAAGAATGTCTTACTTGAGCACTGTCTCCCGCCGGGGTGGCAGGGCCCGGTGTGTCAGTGCTTCATCACCATGGCCTCAGAGCATGGCCTGGCACTGGCACACACTCATCAAGAACTCGCTAAATGAACAGCTCCTAAAACAGACTGCAAACATCAGAGCGGTTTGACAAATTCGACTCGTTACAGCTTTCAAGTCCCTTACAACTCTCCAAATCTAAGCTGTACTCCCCAACCCCTCCATTTCTGCCTTTCTCAAATCAGGACATAATTTGTAAACAATAGATTTAAGATAGTAACTTTTATCCATTATTTCTCTCTCAAAAGTCCTTTATTAAAACAAAAGCGACTTTGCAATTGAGACATCATGGTAAAAATAACTTTAGTTACCATCTTTTGAAAGCCTAGGCACATAGAACATCCTGTCTGTTAAATTCTCACAACTCTGCGACAGGCATTCACATGGCTAATAATGACAGCCAGGGTCCCAACACAGGCCTGTCTAGCACCAGAGCCTGCACGCAACCTTCCTCCGTGGTTCACAGCTGCTCTGCCTCACCTGCGTGTGAGGGGTGGAAATAGAAAACTATGAAACCACACATTTTTTCTAAGGCAGAGGGTGACCCCATTAAAGAAAAGATCACAATCTTAGAACAAATCTCTAACTTAGTTTTAGGTTTGCAAATGCAGACCAACAGGGGCCAGCCAAACCAGTGACAACTCCCCAGTGGCAGAATGGCTCAAAGAACTTCTAAGAAAAGAGAATTCCAATATGTGATTTTAAATTATGTGTTCGGTGGTGCAGGGATACAATACTTCCAAGAGGAATACATGCCCTACTCCACCCACCTGAGTTCTACTTCGCAATCTCACAATAGCCTAAATCTTTTGATATAACACAGGACGTGGAATACTTAAAATAGTATCACATCAGCTTTCCATGTCACCTTGAAAGTCTTTAAATTAAATAATTTTTATACCTCTGTTGGACTATACTGGTGATATTTCCTCTTTGTTAACATTGTTGCTCCAAGTAATCCCTACTTCCTACAACTTTAAGAGTAGAGAATTGGTTTTATTATTGCTTACATTTTTTGGTAAGATTATTTGGAATTGTATTACCAAAATGATGATTATTGAATACTTCACAGCAATATCTATCAGATCAGAATTCCTAAAAACAGACTGAGGCCAATAATGCTAATTCATTTTCTATCATTCCATCTTCTTATGACAGAGGAATTAAAAGACATTTAAAAAAATACCTCTTTATTCATTTTGAACCATTGATACTGTACAAAAGGATGTCCAGTTGCCCGGCAACACAGCTTCACAAACTGTCCAGCCAAGACTGCCTTTGATTCTGGGTTTACAGTGATCTTTATTCCTAAAAAAATAAAGTAAAATAAGGTTAAGTAAATAAAGTCACAGAACAAGGGTTTTTCTTGTTTATATTTCTAAAACCAAAAAAAAGAGAAATATTTTGGAAATAACCTGCATATTCATCCTTGTGATAAAGCACCCATTCACATCTCCTTCCCCACAAGATTATGAGTTTGCTAAGTTACAGGCTTTGTAAAACCAGGAGTAAAGAAACTTGCCTGCAGAATACTTTGATCTGTACTTCCTACAACGGGGGCAGCAGATTGTCTGTCATACTTCTTTAATTCTTAGAAATATTTTTCCACATTCTAACATGTCTGAAATCAGGATGCAACTTCTAATAGTGCCAGCTCTTTGACTATTTGGCCATAAATGATCACATGGCCGAACTTCAACTGAGTTAGTGCACTGTTAGTAAGGCAGTGTTGAAATGCCACTAAAACTGTCCACAAAAGACATATGAAATTCAATGCTATGATTTAGTATTAAAATGAAAATTATTCTGAATTTTTTTTTCTTTATTGATTTGAGAGAGAGAGGAAGGAGAGAGAGACAGAAACATCAATGAAAAAGAACACTGATTGGCCACCTCCTGCATGTCCCCCACTGGAAATCGGGCCCACAACCTGGGCATGTGCCCTAACAGGGAACTGAACTGGCGATCTCTTGGTGCGTGGGTCAATGCTCAACCACTGAGCCACACCGGCTGGGCATGAAAATTATTCTGTAAGCAGAAAGGCACAGAACCAGAAGACCAGCATATAAATTTGATACATGTGATACAAACATTTCTCATTTGAGAAATGACTACCAGCATAGAAACTTGGAAAACTTTTGACAGGAGCTTCAAAGACAATCCTGGAGTCAATAATGAAAAAAGACCCTTCCCCTCCCTCCCTCCTGCCTCTCTCTCAATTACTGTCTCTGGGAAAACCTGCTGCCATGTCACAGGGATGCTCAGGCAGCCCTGAAGAGAGGCCCAAATGGTGAGGAAAGGAATGTGGCCCTCCCACCGACAGCCACGTGAACAAACCACTGGAGGAAGGGATTCTCCAAACCCAGTCAATCCCTTAGGTGGCTGCGGCCTGGCCAACAGCTTCACTGCCAAATGTGAGCCCAAACCACCCAGTGAAGCCACTCTGGATTCTATCCTCAGAAACCGGGTAAGAGAACAAACGATTGTTGTTTTAAGCTGTTGGTTGTGGGATGATTTATTATGCAACAACAGATAACTGACACAACAGAAATCCAAGTTAGGAAATTTTACATGTGCCAAGGTTATAACACATAACACTGGGTTGGTTGGCTTTTAGAATGGAGGAAAGATCATTAAAACATATAAAACTTAATTTCCTGCGCCTACTGTTATTTCCTTTCCTCTTCTCTATCCTGAATATGATCTCTTAATAGCATCTTTTTCCTCTCAACCCACCAATCCATAGGAACAAAACAAGATTACAATCGAAGAGGAATTAGTCTAAATAATAGCAATTTCAATATATCAAACATGTGGAACTTTCTAGGGGAAAAAACAGTAGATAAGGTAAAACAGGTATGTGAAATGCATGCCAGAAAGATACCAAATAAAACCAAAATAAAAAATGAGTAAATATTTATTACATTTAAGGATCTGCATAAACCCTAGAAAATCTTTAGTAAATAAAGCAGATCCTCTCAAAAAAGAATTTGTAACTTTTGCCAGGGGAGAGCTTTCATATCAATTATACTTTATGTTGATGCCAAGTTAGCAAGGATAGATGAAGTAACTGTTTCTCTGAATTCTATAATATACATGGGTAGGAATGTACCTGGTGAAGTAAGAACATGGGAAGAGTACTCTTGCTTAAGCCAGCAAATTCACAACAGCATATTTTAATGCCAGGAGATATTTATATCACAACTTTGAGAGACAGAGATTCTGAATTTCAAAGTTTAGGTAAGACAAGAAGAAAGAAAGTTGAAACAATAGAAGGAAACAAGTATGGTTCTGAAAAATATAGGAATTGTGGCTAAATTGGCTTTAAAATGTGGATGCCCTATAGCCATCTCAAACATGCTGTGTCCAAATTCCCTCCTGTAGTCTATCCCTCCCCGAGACCCTGTGCTCTTCTCCATGTCAGGAAAGATAAATGGGTTTCCAGCCTGCCCCCATGCGTCCAGTTACTCAGGACAAAAACTTAGCACGCATCCCTTAATCCTTCCTCCTTGCTCCCTCACTCTCCACATAGAATTAATCTTCAAGTCCTGTTAGTTAACCTTTTCCATGTCTCATCATCTTCAATGCCCTGATCTTAACCCAAGCCACCATCAGCTCTTGACCTTCATAGCCTGGTAACTTGTTTCCTCACTTCCTACTAGCAGCCCAACGTCTTTTTAAAACACAAACTGATCCATCTCACCCCGCTGATTAAAATCCTTCACTCATCACCCATTGTATCAAAAAAATCCAAACTCCTAACTATAACCTACAAGGGAACTCTGTGAACTGACCTCTCTGACCTTGTCCCCTACCATTCTCCTCCTGGCTCACCATGTTCTAGCCACTGGTCCCCTTTCCTTGGGATGACAAGCTGTTTTCTGCCTTTCCACTTACTGGTCCTCTGCTGGATTTTCCCTCCAGCCCCCCCACTGTTTCATGGCAGATTCTCCAGCTTCTTTGGAAAACATCTCTAAATGAGCTTCTCCCCACCCCCAGTTCTCTATTTCATTCACCCTGCTTTGTGGTCTTTATTGCACTAATCACCTGAAACCTGTTTCTTACTGTCTGTCTCACCTACTAAAACTGAAGCTTCACGGAAGCAATGACCTTGTTTTTCTGTCACTAGTTTACCCAATGCCTAGAACAGTGCCTGGCATATGGTGATATAGTGGGTGTTCAATACATGTTTGTTGAATGAATGTATAAAAACAATAATAATAATTACTGTAGCAGCAAATTCCTGACTACTTTATATGTGCCACACATTTTGATCTCTCACCTTCAAAATAAGCACGAATTAGATATTAATTAGATCTATGTTACAATGAAGAAAATGAACTTAAGTAATTTGTAGGTCACCCAAATTACCTTGAGTAAATTATTTAACCTCTTTGAAACTAATTTATTTTTTCATTGTAAAAAAATGGCAGAACCAGGATGCAAACGTAGGTTTTCTTGGGCTTTAAAACTCTCATACTTTTGTTATCCCAGTGACTCCTTTTTCTCCAACTTTATTGAGGTATAACTGACAAATAAAAATTGTATGTAGTGTTTGCATGATTTAATATACGTACATTGTGAAATGATTACCATCATCAAATTAACACATCCACGCCAGAAATAGTTACCATTTCCCAGTGATTCTTTTTTTTTTTATCCTCACTCGAGAACATTTTTCCATTTTTTATTCAGACAGAGCGGGAGGGAGAGAGGAAGAGAGAAACATCGACGTGAAAGGGACACATCAAGTGGCTGCCACCCGCATGACCAACCAGGGACGGGGACAAACTGCAACCAAAGTACATGCTCTTAGCGGAAACCGAACCCGGGTCTTTCTGGACTGCAGGCTGAGCTCCAACTGCTGAGCTAAACCAGCCAGGGCTTCCCAGTGATTCTTTTTTTTTTTTTATCCTCACCTGAGGAGGTTTTTTCACCTTTTGTTCAGATAGAGTGGGAGGGAGAGAGAAGAACAGAGAGAGAGAAACATCGACGTGAAAGGGACACATCAAGTAGCTGCCACCAGCACAACCAACCAGGGCCAGGGCCAAACCGCAACTGAGGTATGCGCCCCTAGCGGGAACCGAACCCAGGGTCTCTCCAGACCGCAGGCCAATGCTCTAACCGTTGAGCCAAACCGGCTAGGGCTTCCCAGTGATTCTTAACGCACCTCCCATGCTAACCCGTCTTCCGCCAGTGAGCTTCTCTGATGAAGGAAGTGTGCTGTGCAGCGTGCAAGGTATTGCATCACAACAGTGCTTACATCTACCAGGGCAAATATTCTCTGCTGATACACAAAGAGAAAAGAGACAAGAGCAATGGAAATGAAAAAGCTTTCTCCCTAGAGTGTCTTATAAAGGAATGAATGACTTTAGTGAAAAGGGCCAGAATGTTCTAAAAGGTATCCTTTGGTGTAGGAGACAAGAATAAACGATTTTTAAGGTACATTCAAACTCAAAGTTTATACGCTGTCCTATACCAACAATTTTAGTTGTCTTGTCTTCAACAAGCAAGCAAATATACATATTTATTACTTATTGCTTCAAAGACTGAGAATTGAAAGGAAAAATGTGATTTTGAAACCACCCTTGGTGAGCAGTAAAGGAGAGAAGTCACAATACCTCCCATGCTTTAACCACACATATTTCCTTCCTCCCACAGAGTGCCGTGTGACAAGGAGCCATGGTCAACCTGTAACCACCCTCACAGCGCCCACCAGTCAGAGGTGCTGAACAAAGGTAGGGAAAGAAGATGGAACAGTGCTATGGAGGGTGTACCAAGGCACACGAAAGCTCCGTTTTAAAGGGTGAATGCATAGCTTCCTGGCAAACACAGGCTTATTTTCAGATAACAAAGAAGTCAAACAGATTACTTGATTTCTTGTAAGCTCGGGAGAATTTGACTAGGTATGATGGAAAATGAGGACTGTGCTTTCAACACACACCAAAACAGATAAATTAAGGTGATCCCTGACTTGACCAAAGAATTCATTATATTCTCTCTCACAATGCACTCAAATAATGATACAATTTATAAAAAGCTTTCCCAGGAATAGATCTATTGTATCCACTACAGTGCATCTATTTTCAGAGGCCACGAACCAAAAAAAAAAAAATTCCATCTGTTTCCATCTAAAACTCTTCCTCCAAATTATTCTGGAAATTTCTAATCTATCATTAATTAAAGAGTGCTCCGCAGTGTCTCAGAATAAAATGCCATTCCTTTTCCTCTCACAATCTTCCCGTCATACCACCAAAGTATATCCATGTATATCTGTCTTACAAGTCATTCACATCTGCACCTACTAT